TTTTTTTCTTGGAGATTTTTGGGTGGATCCTCTTAACCTGCCCAGGGAATTCCCTGTTTTTTTCTTGGAGATTTTTGGGTGGATCCTCTTAACCTGCCCAGGGAATTCCTAAAGGAAGGAGGAATGGAGGAGAAGGTGGGAATTCCTGAAGGCCCCGGGGAATTCCCAAGTGGAGGAGAAGGTGGGAATTCTGAAGGCTCCAGGGAATTCCCAAGAGGAGGAGAAGGTGGGAATTCCCAGGGCCCACAGGGAATTCCTGAAGGCCCCGGGGAATTCCCAAGAGGAGGAGGAGAAGGTGGGAATTCCTAAAGGCCCCGGGGAATTCCCAAGAGGAGGAGGAGGTGGGAATTCTGAAGGCTCCAGGGAATTTAGGGCCAGGCCAAAAAGGGATGGGGCTCCACCTGATCCAGCTGGAAAAACAGATTTTTCCCACCTTTCTCTGCCATTCCCGAGGTTTCCCTCTTCCAGGCGAACGCTCCAGAATTCCACAGCATTGAGACACTTTTATTTTACCGAAATAAAACTCGGGAATTCCGTGCCACGTGGTTTGGCTCAGGAATTCTGCCCTTCCCACCCTCCTTTTCCTGTGTATCCAGAGGTTTCCCTCTCCTCATCCCACGATGTCCATAATTCCAGTTTTCCCACATCTTTTTTTCCAGTTTCTCGGTGTTTGTTCTCCTCGTCCTTATCCCGGAGGGGTCGGGGTGACTCTTCCCAATCCCGCTGGATTTAAACGAAGCGCTTGGAGCCGCTCAGATCCCTCTGCCTTTTTGGGAAAAAGAGAGGAGAGGAAACAATGGGAATGCTGGCTGCAATCTGGAGAATTCCCTCTTGGAATTCCCAAGCTCGCAGCGGCTTGGGAGGTCCCTGACACCGCGGGGATTGGCCCATCCCACATCCCCAAAAAGCAAATATCCCAATCCTGGCTCTGCTTGGGATCGGCCAGGAAAAACGGGCGCACGGAGAACTCAAGGAAGTGTCTTGGATTGGGATGAATCCCATTCCCGGTGGTTTTGGATTCCCACAAAGCACGCTGGAGGTCCCTTCAGCTGCTCCCAAAGCAAATTCCCTGGAAATAAAAACGGGCAGGAGAAGTTTCAGCCATTTCCCGGTGCTGCTGGGCCCGGATCTCAAAAATATTCCCAAAATTACGGATCTGAGGTTTAACTCCTCTCTCTTTTTACAGTTTCCCTCAAACCCAGAGCAGATGAACCTCACCAGAGGATTTTTTTTTTTTTTTTAACGGATTGTAGGGAATTCACGGAATTTTTTTCCCCAGAGGGAATTTTGGGAGAGGAATATTTTCCTTGGAAGGCGGGGATCAGTCCCAGCTCCCGCCCTGCTCGGAGCAGGGATTGCATCCCTGCCAGGCCCCATTTGGGATGAGCTGGAGAGGAGGGAAAATCCTCACAAAGCGATCCCAAAACTCCTGGATCTGGCAGTGGAAGCCAAGCTGTGCTTCCAGGGGATTTTCCCATTCCCTGGATGAGGTGACACCCCAAGCCCGGGTGTTAATCCAGTCCTAAACCGGTCTAGGATTGAGCTGAGGAGATGCCAGAGTGTTCTTGGGTGGAACATTCCAGGGTTCCGAAGGCACAAATCCCCAAATTCCTGCACTACTTCAGTCCTTGGAAAGCACAAAAACCTCCGAAATATCTGGACCTGGTGGATCCATGCACACTTCCGTGGAATTAACCCAAGGGAGATGTCCAGGAGCTCCTGGGAACGATCTGGGAATGGGAATGGTGCTGGCAGGAGCCCTCATCCATGGGCTGTGGGAAAACACCCCACAATTCCTCATGGGAAAACACCCCACAATTCCCATGGGAAAACACCCCACAATTCCCAGAGCTTGGATCCACATGGGAAAACACCCCACAATTCCCAGAGCCTGGATCCGGGTGGAAAAACACCCCACAATTCCCATGGGAAAACACCCCACAATTCCCATGGGAAAACACCCCACAATTCCCAGAGCTTGGATCCGGGTGGGAAAACACCCCACAATTCCCATGGGAAAA